AAAAAAAAAAAAAAAGCTCACTTTGATGCTAATGAAGTGTGTCTAGTTACATCGGTTGCTGGTCGAAGTTGGCGTGACTAGTTGGTGTTGAAGGCTACCGCTGTGCCTTGTCTACCACTGGTGACGCCCAGTTTCCTGTAACTCGAGGCCCGGGCCTGACAGGGGAACCTGTGGAGGTTGCTCTGTGGGAGGAAATGACATGTGGCTTGAAATGACTGCCGATATAATTCAGAAATGGCAACATAAAGGACGGACATCCAATCGAATCAGTCCTCTCTCGCACAAGTGTGAGGGGGAGGGTGGGGATGGAGGGGGGTCTGATATAAAACAGATATCTGCCAATGCTGCTGCAGTGTAAACTGGCAGATTGATACCCTGTGAAATAATCAAAATATGCACGCAATACCCACAGTCAATCAAAAGAGCGAAAACAAAATAGCACATCGGTACTAAGAGCATGAAAGAAGTGGAAGAAAATGATTGCAATGTGCGGCCAGTTAAAAATTGCAACTTGCAATTTAAACCAAAGGGGGAAGGGTCAACGTAACGCAACACCATGTTTGAAAGTGTTAATTTATTATCCTCTACTTCAATGCGGTCGCAGCCTTTTATTTTTTCAATAAATGCTGAGATGTGCGACACAATGCTTTTGAATCAATGGAAATAGGCAGTCCAAATATTGTGCATCAAGGCACGAACTCTGAGGTGGCCGCTATGACCCGCAGTGTGAATCCAGCCGTATCATCCGGCCTCCAGCCCAGTTTAAATCCTGGCGGAGCCCTGATAATTATTCAGAAATGCAAATGATATCATTTTTACTCTATTTGGGGCAAGTCGAAAGTGATTTCATTTTGACTGATGGGGAATTGAATCAGAGTTTATATAATCTTTGGTAAATCCTATTCATGATCTTGCTTTTTTTTTTTTCCTGAAAATGATTGTTTTGTCCGTTTCACCAAGTATTTGACCAAGACCTGAGACGGAGAGGAATCAGAAACGCTTGCATCTGATTTTCTCCTCTACATTTTGGAACTTTCAGTTTCTGCTTATTGTCACTGTCACAGTTGTTATCTCCATTGTGTTGGCCGCTACAATGGTCCATGCTATCTCTACAGCCTCTCCCTGTTCATTTGACCTGTGTTATCATTAGTGCTCTCAGCAAAACTCCCCCGCAGTGCTTGATGATGGCTGCTGAAGAGAAGCGGCCAACTGGGGGGGGCGGGGGTTGGGGCTTGGTTGGAACATCATGTGGCCCAAGAAATGGCGGCACTGTGCTCCTTGGCCTTCATACGCAGCGCTGCTATGCTGGAAGACTTGCGGTCCGGGTCGACATTGAGATCGTAGCCATTAATCCCCCCGACCATTCCAGGTCCCCCAAAAAGGCTGCCCATCTGCGTCTGTCCCATGTGGCTGCTCCCTGGGCTTGGCACACCCAGAAAGTCGGGGACCCCCCCGTGACTATGAGGATGAGGGGGCATGCAGGGGGGGACGGTATCGCAAGGAACAACACAGCCCGGCACTGGAGAGGCTCCGCTGCTGCCACCGATCCATGAAGGGTTTTGCATCTGAAAACAAACAGCAGTCATATTAATGACAGTCACAAACACTTCATGGCACCGGTGAGAGACGTGCCGGTGTTCTTATTCACCTGCGCATAGTTCTCGGGCCGAGTTAGAAGAGGCAGCTCATAAGCCGTGGAGAAATGCGTTCGAACCTGTTGCATTTGGCCAAAGCGCTCCCTCTTCCTCCACTTGGCCCTGCGATTCTGGAACCACACCTGCAAAGAAGGAAGGCAGCCCATCAAGGAATAAACTCACTACATACTAAAAAGTGCTGGGTTGTACTTGTTTTCCCGAACCCATTCACTAGGTAGCTCTGAATTTTGAGGAGATTAACTCATTCGGTACCAGCCAGTTCTGGACCAAGTCTGAAAAGACGTTTAAAAACGTCTTTGGGAGCGAATGAGTTAAGTAACTTTTACTCAAGTTTGGGTCAGTTATTTTGACCAAGCGGATTGGATTTGGGCTGGCTAAAGACTTGAAGCTGCTCTCCTTTTTGGGCAGTTTTGTGTACTAAAGTTGAGGTAATTTTCATGAAACATTCTCAGAAAATGTTGGTGGCAGCTGGATGGCTCAGTGAATAACATGGCTGACTTTGATCACGCTTCAAATTCCAGTAAGGGCAAACAGTAACGTCCACTTGGGTCTCTAGGCAAGACCCTTTTGACTACATGTCGATTCCCAAACAATGCTTGTCCCAGGCCGGGATAAAAACGGATGGGTTGCGTCAGGAAGGGCATTCGATGTAAAAACTGTACGGAACAAATGTCAGTGACTAGCTGTGGTGCCCCCTCCCAGGGGAAAGTTGCTTTTTCCCCTCGGTAAATATTGGCACTAAAATTAGCATTATTTTTTTAGCACAGCATATTGATGACCTGTTAAGACATTTTTTGGTAGAATCTCGTGCCCACTTCCTGCGTCGAAATAACTTAACATTGGCTCCGACCCTTTTAGACCCAGCGTTGAGTTAGATATTTCACCCAATTTGGGTAACTTTTAACCCAGCAGAGTGATACAGGCCAGTCACTGGTGGACTAAAAACATTGGAGCATGGCCTCCACTCTGAAAGACAAACTAAGAAAGTGAAGCAAATAAATTTTATCGGACATGAAAGTCCCACGGCACATTTTAGTACTTGACGTGTCTTTAAAGTGCCATCCACATGGAACTATTGATGTAAAAATGGAGCGTCTCCCCTGGTACTGCCCCCCCCCCCCCACTGCCCCTCCTCCTGCCTTTGATACACAGTCGTCTGCCTCCCTTCAGACTGCCTGCGTCGACAGATCCACATCTGGGTCTGTAGCCATTCATAAATCATTGTGAGAAAGGTGTCCTCTCCCTCACCTGTCCGCCCAGCAGGACAAAAGAGAATCCCACTGCAATGCGTTGAAAAATCCAACCAACAAGCAAGTAGGCAGAAATGACAATCAGCGTGATTTGCGTAACCCCCCCCCCACCCCCCACGTAACCCCGGGCGCCTTGTAGTTGGCATTATTCGAAGTTCATGTTTTTAAAGTATTTAAAATTGTGTCATTCTTTGTCTATGTGGGAGCGTTTACATTTGGTTTTGAAAAATAAAAAGTGATTCCAAAAAAAAATTATCAATGATTGCAGATCCTTCAAATGATCTTTACGTTACCAGTAATTTTTGCATCATACGACTGGAGAACAGAAAGGTTGGCGAGGAGCACAATGTTGTGATACTTTGATTTACAAGAATACAGCTGGCAAAATCACCCTGGCAAGTTTTGAGTCGACTTCCCCTTTCGTGCCAAATATTTTAAAAAAATCACCTTTAGGTCAAGGACAACAAATACAAAACGATTGACAGTACCACTGCAAAACGTCTTTCGCACACAAAGCAGGATTGCTACAGATTTGATAAATTCTTCTTGCTTAATAATAGACAAGACATGAATACTTGCGAAGATGGACGCTCGTGCTCTATATATCAATCACATTTTATTTGTATAGCACGATATGTTATCTTGAACCTCCTTGCCAAGTGCAACAAATGTTCTGCAGTGGTTCGAGCTTTGATTGTTGGTTGAATCCAAGCCCAATCAGCTTGTGGTTTTCACAATTCCCGACATTCAAATTCCCCTCGGCCGGGCCCTTCATACCCCCGCCTCCTCCTTTTGCATTTACCATTCCTCTCCGTCATCTTCATCATAAAAAAATTGGCCGTGTGACAGTGCGCTCTGAAGTGCATTTCTTTTTCAGGGATGTATGTGTAGGACCACAAATGGGTTCCTTTTTCAAAAAGGGGACCATGTATGCATCGAGATTTTTTTTTTTTCCTTTCCAAAACTGATGTTAAGAAATCTCACGCCAACATTCCACAGGTCAGCTGGTGAGATTAGTCTTCCAAAGTCGTAAAGTGATATGGAAGGTTGTGGCTGCCCCCCAATGTCAAGGTGAGGGGTTGTTGGCCTTTGAATTAAATCATATGTTTGCAGGAGGGCTTGGGGTCTGTTACAGTCCCCTGAGGTTTGGGAGCGGGGGTGTTATTGTTTGATGTGTCCTTTTCCTTTGGTTTCTTCTCCGCTTTCTCAACGCATGACACTAGTTTCTAAATCGATCTTCAATACACGGGGCCCCTGATTAGAGCGCTTCTGACTTGTCTCCCAATGCAGTTGTGCCTTCACTTCAAAGTTTAGTTTGTTCTGTGACCATGTTTGCAACTCGGAACACGTGTCCCAAATAATCTTTCTCCCTTGAAATGAATAGTCATGGCAACTGTTAAAGTACCCCAAACATACAAACAAAAAAATTTTACACTTTTTTTTTTAAAGCAAGAATATTTAAAGCCCATCCTACAGTGTTGCACTGATATGTATATATAAATAAAACTAACAGCTGTACATATTTTCATGCTTTAAAGCCCACTGACATTGTGCTCCTTCTCGTGTGCATGCCTTAATTACCAGAAGCAGAAAATTAGAGACATACAGTAAATAATACGCAAAGTAGAGTTTTGTAACGGACTCAAAAAACGGCAGCAATATTTGTCTTTTTTTTGCGCAGGATAAAGAATATGTGCCTCTGAGTGTAAAGTTGTCTGTCTACAAGTGGTGCTGCACCGTTTGTGTTGCTTAAATGCTTATAACGACTGCAACATTGCTGTTGTATTAGCCCACCTATGGCTTTTTAAATTGTGTCTCACTTCCGGGTTGAGTGAACGCTGGCGCATCTGGCTGCCGCTACTCACCCACTATTATTCTTTTTTAGCGTTTGTTTTACGTTTTTTTTACGGTTTACTCTCGTCATGGGAGAAACCCTCGTCTCCTGTCACAATTCGTTGTGGTTTTGGACCGTCGGTCGTCGCACGGTTGTCCTCGGTCGCGCTGTCGCGGCGTCCCGCCTGTTCGGCTGTCGTTCGGTGCTCCGTGCCTTCTCCGCCCCTCTGCGCCCCGTGGTGGGGGTCGACGGGGCCTGTGTCTGGGCTACGCTGCTGTGGACCGTCCTGTCGCTCCTCCGTCTGCCCGTGGGGGGACTGCTGCGGTGCTCAGTGGCGGGGCTTCTTGGGCTCCGTGACTAGTTGGAGTTCGTGTGCAACTAGTTCGACAAAGTGTGTCACATGTGTGGCTGAGTGTCGAACTAGTGCTGAAAGAGATCAAACTAGTGTAACACATCAATGTCTGATATCAGGGATTTGGAATAAATGCTCAAATGGCTTGCCATACCTATCGAAAATTCAGTTTAAATTCATCTCTCCTTTTATTATTTATAATTTTATCTGTGGTTTTATTGTTCTTGTTTTGATTGTAAAGTGTCCTTGAGTGTTTTGAAAGGCGCTTATAAATGTAATGTATTATTATTATTATTATTAGTAGAGATTCGAAAGAGTAGTTAGTTCCACGGTTTGGTTTGCGCTACCGCTGTAGATTGTGTCCAAGGTAGAGACTTTGCTTTTTCTTGAAAAATGTCGGAATTTTAATGAATGTAATCGGTCATCAGATTTTTGTCATCGTCCCACCTCTGTCACCCATCCCCACCCCCACATAAAGCGCCTCTCTCCTCCCACCTCCCTTTTATGTCGATGAGGGGAAGTGGGGATATTGGAAAGTGAGATGGGAGAATGTTCAAACTGGAGCTTGTTTTCATTTCATGTTTAATTTCCTGACGCCAAAGCCCGTGGCTTTCCGCGGCTAACCCTTTTGACCTCTGCGAGGCGTGCAGACAAAGGCGGCTGACCAGACGCACACAGGACACACACATTTAAATACCATGTCATTTATAACATTCGGAATCTGTCACCAACCAATATGTTGTCTTCGTCTGAACGCTGTCAGCTTTTTCTTTTTTTCTTTTTGAATGCCTGAGCGCATAATTATGAACCCCTCTTCTCGGTTTGAGTGTGCTGAGTGAGTCATGTTTCACAGAGGGTTTGCACTGTGCTGCTTTGCCTTTGAACGGCAGTAAGAAGGGGACATAAGCCAAATAGTTTGGCAAAGAGATCATCTGTGGTGCAAGCGTTATGAAGTCAGATGTGTCTTGTGCTGCTCTCTCTGCCTGTCCAAAGCTGCGTCTTAAAAGCCATTATTGGCGACAAGCAGAGTTCCCGTTCTTCTCATCGTGAAAACTTTTAATCCATCACGTATGACGTGCCCAAAGTTACCAACTTCCAACTGTGTTCTTGTTTGTTCCATTGACACAGACGCATCTGCGAGGAAGGTGGCAGCGAGCTAAAAGTTGCTTGTCGGTGTAACGGTAATGGCTGAAGACGTTGACGGCAAAAGGCAGTTTACGGAACCATTAAATGGTTTTATTTACGCTGCACGTCCAGCAGTCGGGGGGGGGGGGGGGGGGGTGCGAGAAGGGAGGGCAGAGTGCACAAACTCCAAAAGCAGCTTTGAAGTTCCAGCCGTCTCACCTCATCTCTGTCATCCCGCAGCACTGTGACTTGATCGAGTGCCTCAGCTCTGCTTCATTCGCTCCCCCACCCCTCCTCCACTAAAGGCAGGTATGGCCAAGTTCGTGAGGGCCTTTTTTTTTTTTTTGCTCACATTCATGTAAATAATTTAACAGCAGCAAAAGCCCCAAGCTGCACACAAAGACCTTCATCATTAAACTTAGGATGGAACAGTCCGACTCTGACACGGTCTTTTTTTCTGAAGAAAACATCTGCATTGTTTCTTAGATGAAAAGGATGATCAAGTCGCTTGCCAAGCTCGCGATGCCCCTTGGTATTCCTCAATTGCATATCCCTGGACCTTGTCCTGATAGACCTTCTGTTGCAATTGTGGGATTTAGACTTGATTGCGTGCATGTTTTGGGTCTGTTTTGCAGGACTTTGGGTCAATCCTCACAGTGACTCAAAAGAGTGGGCTGCGTGCCTGTCAGTTGGGTTGGGAACGTTAATTATATTCATCTGGGGAAGGCATGGATCTGTGTGAACCAACTTTTTTTTTTTTCTACTGTACCACCGCACAGACCAGAACGTCCCTGACTATGTCTCAGACTGCACGTGGAAATTGAAGCTGGCATCTCAAGTGCTTTTTATATCCTTCCCAAATAGTCCAATGACTACTTCTCTCCCCATGTCCCTCACCTCCGGCCTTTGCAGTTTTGTGTGGAAGTAGTTTCAACACCGTTGCACCAGGGACAAACCCTTGGCCTCTGACCTTTCGTGCAGAGTCTGGCGCAAGTAAGCGCAAAGGGACCTCCCTTCATCCCGCTCTTCCCGCTCTGATCTAAGGTTGGCTGGAAGAAAATAGTGATGAAAAAGGAGAACAATAGACTCTTCTGTTGTCACATCACTAGCTTTAACTCTCCCTCGCACGCTCTCGCGATGATTAACACGTGAATACGGACAACGGTGTGAATGCAGCGCCGCTCGTCTTTTTTGCATGCCCATCTGGTCTCACCTGAACGCGAGCTTCCGTCAGGTCTGTTCTGAGTGCCAGCTGCTCACGAGCATACACATCCGGGTAGTGTGTCTTCTGGAAAACCTTCTCCAGCTCCTCCAGCTGATAGCTGGTAAACGTAGTGCGATTGCGCCTCTTCTTGCCTTTGTTGCTCTCGGCCTCGCTTTTATCCAGAGGGCTGGAAAGATCTGAGCCGGGACGCTCGCCTGACCCCTTCGCTCCTGCTTCCTTTAGATTTAGGTAGCTGCTCTCCATCCCAGGGGGGTCAACGCTGGAGGGCAACTCAGACTCTGTCAGGCCGTTGTCTTTTCCTACATTCAGGAAACATGGAAAGTTGTGATCAATTTTACCTTACGGCGGAAATGGGGAGAGCCACACGCCAAAGATCTTGAGATACCACAGAGAAGAGTGTGAACAACCCCGCCAAATTGGAAACATTACAAAACAGCAGTACATAAAATTGTGAAAAATCAAGCCCTTGTCTCTGCTCTGAAACGCTGGGCGCGTCATTTGAAACCGTTTGCCCCGTTTCCCTCAAATGTTCAGACCTCTTCTCGCATTTCATCCTCCATAGATATGAAAAGACAAAAAAGATGAGCCCCTTCCACATCTGTGGCCCTTCCACACTGGATCACATTTACTTCTGTAAACACTACATTGTGAATGACGTCGTCTCTTCTTCTGCGCATGCGGGTTACTTTGGAGACGCATATGTTCACACACCAGACAAAGTGAGGTCGCATGTAATGTGAACACAAAAAAAAAAATAATAATAATAAATCGGATATCACCCAAAAATCCGAACTGGGCATTAAGAGCCGCAGTGTGAACCTAGATTATGATGTCATCCCAATACTGCTCACAAGCAAATGGGAGCTTGTGTCTTTATTGATACCGCTCAACTTAAAACACATTTTTATTGTTTGGCTTTTGGCTCAACATTAGACTCGGCATTGTTTAAATGTTTTATGTTTACTGTTTTTATTTTGTTAATGTTATTGTTTTTTTGGTTTTTTTAAACTGTCTGGTTTTAAGTCGGATTTTTATTTTACCGGTATATAGTTGTTTTTAAAGTGCCCTATAAAGTCGAGGTGATTTTTAAAAATGTTTTCTCCTGGCAAGGAGGCCTTACTCAATGTCAGATTTTTTTTGCCTGAAGTATCGGTGACTGATATCAGATGCCTTTAACAGTGCACGATACATTGAAATAAGGCCCGTGTCAGTCTTCACTCATCCCTAATTTCGGCACCTCATCATTTTTCACATTCACGCACTTAACATCCAGATATAAATCTAAACGTAAAGCTTGAAATGTTTGGATATTTCACTCTCATAATTAAATACATTGAGCACGTTTGGGTTCATAAGACGTAAGCCAAAAACGTAATTGTGGCTTGCAGCCACCCAACTCTGACCAATTAAACTTGAAGAGAAACAGCGACAGGCAAAGAGCAATATGCTCCTTAAAATGCGTGTTGCTTTTGGTGTATATAGCCGGGGAAAAAAAAAGGAACCCGGTGCCTAACAAGTCAGCAAGTGCATCTGCACACCATCACGTTCTAGCATCCACACACAGTTGCGGCTACTTTATGCTTACATCACCTCTGTAATGTTTTATTCTGGGGTTCAAAGGCCTTGTCTGTGTATGCTGAATCTACACTTCACTTCTACATGTTTGAAAGGGTTGTCACGACACATTCGGGTGACCTGCGACACAACCTTCCAGGGGGGGCACACTCACTTCGCTCAATCACGCCACCTGAAATCCGAGCCAATGAAAAAGCTGCCTCATTTCGGACAGTTTGTGTGTTTGTGCGTGTGCGGTGGCCCTCGTTTGCCCACTGTTGCCCTCCGCACTTTGGCGCTCAGATGTAAACAACATTGTGTTTGTCACTTCCAATTTGGACAGCCTCCATTTTGTGACAGACCTGGCTCTGTTCCTGTCAGGGATTTTTGCAAGGATTTTTTTTTTTGTTTGTTTCCTTTTTGGAGATGAAGAAGGCTGTCCCTTCTCCTTCATATAAACAAACATCAATGAGGATAAATAAGCATGTATGACTGGTGGCGGGCCAGTCAGAACAGTGCTCTGTCAGTTTTTCTGTCTGCTTTTGCTTTGCATTGGCATGAGGTTTCTGTCCTTAAATAGTCTCCAGCATAACAGTGGAAAGACTACGTTTTCAAATGCATCGGAATGAAGTCAGAATAAAGTTCGAACCTAACTTCACAGGTCATTGTCACGTTATGACCTTTCGCAATTAACGCAATGGCACAACTGTGAGACGACCTTTCTATCTGACACACAAGATGATGTGCCGATGTCTCAAACCGCCGCAGCGTCGAGCCAACGACTGGCAGGAACAATTTACTCAGATTTGTTTTGTATCAGTGCTTCGTATCGGTACTCTTCACACATATGTGATACCTTGCAATAAAGTGGTATCTGCTCACTACCAATACCTGATATCCTTACTCGCCGTGGTAATTACAGTTAACAAAAATAATGAAATAACTAAACCTAAAAACCTTTTCACAATGAAAATAAAAATAGGAATGCTTTAAAAAACAAAAAATAGCGAAATGAAATTATATTTTACATTTATAAAACTATCAACAATTATGTATAACCAAAATGCCCTTCCGTTTTTGTCTTTGGCAATTTCATACATGAGCTTTCCGGGTTTATTCAAAATGCATTTATGTCTGTATTATTGTTCAGGCATATGGAAGAAAGGTTGAATAGTTGTTGGGAATTGTAGTTTGATACTTAGTGACCTTTTTTTTTATCGGAAATAATCCATACGTGTACTGTCTATACAGTATATTAAAACTAAAAATGACAGTTAAAACATTTTCATAAGCCTTAGATCTAACTACGAAAGACACTCTAAAAATGTATTGCATGTAACTGAAACAGAAAAAAAAAGAAAATAATTACGGCAGTGAAAAATCTCAAACTAGTATAACCCTCGCACAAGTCATCCCTTTTAGGCTCTCGGTGACGGCAAAGAAGTGAAATTAACTGAAAATTAAACACGCCTCAGTCCTCGCCGCTCAGTACAAAATGGCTAAAGTGACAAAAAGTGGAGAGCTGTAACAGAAGAACCGGATGTGCGAAGCAAAGTTAGCTGCGGGGTGCACACTTTTCAGTCATCTTCCACGATCCTTCCACATGCTACACATCTGTCACGCATCATCGTTTAGTGTGGGTACAAAGGTTGCTTTTGGCTGTTTCTTTGTTTTTTTTGTTTTTTTTTTTTCCACTTACCCGTTTGGTTAATTTTGTGTGGCTTAAATTCATCCAAAAGTGCAAGCCGATCAGTGTCCCCGAACGGGTGATCTTAGGACCACGGTACATTTATCTCCCGCGAGATCATATTTGGAGTCACTCTCTGCGTGCGTTTTCCTTGCAGCTTTCTGTTTAACGCCCTCCACAGTCTGTCGTCTTAGAAACAAAGTGCATCGTGAGAAGGACTGTTGATATTTTGCGGTGCTGGTAACTCTGTCAGCCATACTTTTAATGGTGAGTAAGCTGGCGGAATAGTTTTGAAGTGATGAAGTTGGGCGTCGGCTGTCTGCGACATGCATGTTTGTTTTCATGAATTAATATTCTTTGCCTGGTGTGTCCCGCAACGTGATGTCAGTAGTCGTCTCTCCAAAACCGCCGCGGCCTTTCCCCTGCTTTCGGACTCGGGCTTGCCCCGACTGAGACTAATGAAACGACGCAGCTTGCCCAGCTGGGGTTCATGACCTCATATCGCTGCGGCCCACCTGTCAGAGCCCCTTACTGTCTCCACTCGTGCGGGCAGATGTTCTGACATTACCAATCGCTGCTTCTGCCCCGTGCGATGTTTTCATTCAACCTCTGAGCGGGAGCATGACTGCAACGCTCAGAAGTGAGTTGGGTCAACGCAGAGTCCCTACTTGTTTTGAAATACCGAGGGCGTGGGTGCGCGGGCCCCTGAGCAAGGCACGTAAACATGTGAGGCCCAGCTGGGCGTACAGATGGGCACCGTTAGGTTTTATACTCATCCCTACATCCAGATCACATACCCTCAACATGTACTTTCTCTTCATCTAGCACCCGAAGCAATCTGTTTTGTGGCATGCTAATCGTAACCAAACACAATCCTCACCAACATCTCACAGGATTCATGCCTGCCGAGATTTTTTTTTTCCCCCCCTCTGGAGAACACAGCCGTCAAGTCTTGCTTTCTTCCCTAAAGCCAAGATTCCACTGCCTTGGCAGCGGTTTCTTGGCATTCCGAAGAATTTTTTTTTTTTTTCTAACTGTCGTTCCCCTTGTAGAGCAGACCAGCATACGTTAAACGTGAGAAAAAAACGCCGCCCGCTCTTTCAATTCGCCGGTCATTTTCTGACAACCTGCAGACCTCTTTGGTTAGCCGAGGTCACGTGCTTACTAGGGTCAGGGATGTAATCGCCGCTGAAAACAGAGAGAAAACATCAAAGTGTAATTTAACTGGTTGTAAAGCAACAAGGCACCCTCTCAGTTTTTATGGAAAGGGACGGGGAGGGTCAAGTGAAACCAAATAAAAGAAACACTATAAATTAGTAACCTGGGGAAGGGTTAATGAGCTCGTACTAACGAGGAAGGGCAATGCTTTTAAACAGAGTGCTCTGAGTTGCTAGACATCCTCTGATCAAACTTGAGTAAAATATCTAATAATTATATGTGCTCTGATTAGTATTCGACCCTTTTACAGGACTCTACTTAAAAACAAAAATCTAATCACTGCAGAAAATTGCACACTTTATTTAATTAAAATATGTCTCTATAATGAGTTTATATTGAATTTTACAAACGTAATTATTATTTTCGCTCAATGAAGAGTTGCACAAAATCATGCGGCTCTGCTGCCTCACGGGCCTCTTTCGCCATTGCCAGCCCCAAATCAAATTTTTGTCACATCGAGCTTATTTCCAGCTAGATGTTGTGAAGACTTCACGTCAAAAAAAAATCACATCAAAACACATTTTTGCAAAACTGATCCAAACCACATGTGGAGGTTGTTTGAAATGCAATGCAAGTCAAATTTTTACAAATGAGATTTGAGTCTGGACACAGCGGCAAGTGATGCAAATGCTGCTGTGGTGTCCAGACCGAAGAAACACACACACACACACACACACACACACACACACACACACACAATGTAGACGCAGGGGCAGAGTCACAACTTTGGATAATACATGCTGATTAAGAACAGCAACTTGGACGACACGGACACGTCATGCGGAAACTGCCGCCACCTTCAATCTTACTTGCAGTCGTTATTTCATGAACGTTGCCAAA